GGCTGGGAAGTTTTGTTATCAATAAAGTTCTTTTTTTTCGTCTCAATTTTCAAAAGGTCTATTTTTACAGAGTCTTTAGCCTTATATTTATTTGACTATGTCGCTAATTACTATAATTAATTTACAGCTGTGTTCATTGATTCACTATGCCCCAGTACTCGGGCACAGTGAATAACGTAACGCAACTCACTCTAAGCCTTTCTGTGAGCCGATAGATAATAAATATTTGGGTTTTAGTAATTTATCATCATGAAAAACATATATCTCAATCCTTTCGCCTTGAAAAAATAAAATACATATTTTAACCTTTGCTTAATTTAAAAAATAAAATCCGATCGACTGTGCCCTAACTTAACATATATTTCCAAAAGTAACCTGCACCACCACAATAGTTTTTACCTTAACCGGTCAGATCTCACTGGGTGATGACAAATATACCAACTTATAAAAAAGCATAAATAGTAGTTCTACCAGTTCTTATCTAAGATGGCTACCCACTATTAAAAATCGACAAATAAAAAAAATACACTTTCTTATTTTTTTAAGGGTTAACTTTATGCACAATCAAATAAAATAAAAAAATTTGATTGTTGTTTAAGGTCGAACCCTTATACAGCAATCAAGTTTGCCCTTACTTAATTCTCTTGAAAGGTTTGGAGTTCCAAAAAATTACAAAAGTTACTAAAAAGGGTCTTAGCATCAGTTAAAAATTCTTTTAAAAAACCTACAGATCTCGATCTCGACATAAAAAACTAAGCTCAATTAAATACAGTTTTAATGTTAGAAGAACAGAAAATGATGGAGAATTTAATGTCTCTTGTTCTTTTTTAATGTATACTGTTTTTTAAAGGTTTTTATTTTGTTTTTGTTTTGTGCTTTACTCCATTTGAAAATTCCCAACTACAAATAAGTTGAAATTTTACAATCTTAGGGAGGTACGACACACCCGCCCCTCAAGCATAACCCAGAAGTTGCGCACGATCTTACGTCTTTAAAGAAAAAAATAAACTTTTGATGTAAGCTAGTTAAATTGTCGTGAACTAGCATATATAAAAAAAATTATCCTTTTAATAATGTACCGAATTGGACTTACAGGTTTGGCTTCCCCGAAATTGAATGTGAGCATGTAGGTCAACTTAATTTTTAAGACAAAAAAATTACAAAATTTATAAAAATAGATAAAAAACATTAAAAACATAATTAATAAGGTAAAATAAAAATAAAAACATTAAAAATAGGGTATTTTTGGCAGGGTGATAATTTTAGCACCCCTTCAAAAGACACCTAAAATATTTATTTGTTTGGTTGTTCAAGGTAAACAATATTCCTAATAAATAAGGTTTAAACTTCCTTTTTTTTGTAATATAGGTACGCTGATTTATGATTATTATCTTTGTTTAAACATTTTTATCTTTTTCAAAATGATAAATGATTTTTTTTTTATGAATTTGTAGCAAAAATTTTTTATTTATTTTACTCACTAACATTTTAATAACGCGCTGAATGAAAAATAATCTGAATTATACCTTAAGTGAAAGTTACGTTAAAACTTTTAACTAATGTTTTTATATTACCGAAACGCTTTAAAATAAAGGAACAATTTATTGATAAACGCTTTAAAATAAAGTAACAAATTATTGATAATCAAAGTATATGTCACATTTCTATATAAAGGGGGAGCAATTTTCATAGCAAAAAAATCAATATTCCTGAGACACGAATCGATGCCTATTATTTATAAGATGAAAGTAAAAAAATATTTTTTGATTTTGATTAGATCTTGAGGTTCCTCTATGGATTATAAATTTTTGACGGGTACTAATATTTTTGAATTTTGTTTTAAATCCATATCAACCTTGAACTCAAAAAAAGCAGAAAAAATGCTTGTTTGAAAAATAACAATTTTATTAAAAAAAAATTTTAGTGAAAAAAATATTTGCAAAAATATACCTTGAAACCCCCGTTTTGTCGAAGACTGGGATTTCAAGGTATAAAAAGAGCTGTTTTTATGAAAAAAACTGCTCTATTTTTTAATTAAAACAAACAATATTTTCAAAATCAGCATATTATTCTGCTTCTTTTGAGTACCAGGTTGATATAGTTTAGAAGAAAAAAATTTTTTTAACAGTATAGTTTGCAGATTTCCACACAAGTAAACAAATCGTTGAACAGCAAGTCTGAAACCAACGTATTTATATTTTGCAAATTTTGGCTAATGCTACAATATATATGCCGCGTGGAATACTAATTCTTGTTAGTAATTAAGTTACTGCAAGTGTTAGTAATTAAAATTAAAAGTAATTAAATTACAGTTAGTGTTAGTTATTAAATTACTAACAACTACCAAAAATATGTTGTTTATAGGCTATGCAAATTAAGGTAGCCATAGCAACCAAAAAAAAATTAACCTCAGAATTCTGAATCTCATTTTACTACATGCCCCCAATATTGTGAACTTGGCGCAAATAAAATACTGTTAAAACAATGTTAATGTAAAAATGAGTAGTTGCTATGCAAAATTTAGTACCATAGCAACCAATTTAAAACATGTGATATCTGAATGGGAATTTAAGGGGATGAATTTAAGGGGATAATCAACTCAAACTTGATTAAAGCATCATATAGCTTAAACAAAACTAAGGCAGCACATGGTAATTATTAGTGATAGTGCGGCAAAAAATAAATTTCTTAGTGTTTTTTTTTTTAATTTGTGATTTTGAATGTATAACTGAAATAACGTGCTATGACATATTTATTTCACACATTGGTTTTTCTTATCTTTAAATACTCTAGAATAACATGTACTAATTGTTCGTTTTAAAAACGTAGATGTAATTGAAATATAACACAGTGTTGATGTCACCGTAAATTACTTATTTATAATTTTTTTAAATTTCAATATTTAAAAGCTTAGAGTCATGGTAACTAAGGGATTTAATATAAATAAGTTGTCAATAAATTTCTCCTAATATATGTAGATACTAAAATTAAGTATGTTTTCAAGATTAAGACAAGACAACTAAAGTTTTTCCCATTTTGTCCACCTACTGGTCCACTGTGCACTGGGTAACCGACTAAAAAAAAAATAAAAAAAAAATATCCTCGATTTTATTGTGCAGCCCCTTATGCGTTAGGGCAACCGAACATAAGAGGCCCGATAATAAAATTGCGCACCTGGTGCTGGGTGAACCCTGCTGTTAATACGGAACTGACGGTACATTTAATTGCTTTTTTATTACACTAGTTTTATTACGGTAGTGAACACCTTAATTACGTTCACTGAAATATAACGCAGAACAGAAACATGACAAAAATAGTTATTTTAAAATAAAAAATAAATTAATAAGATCGTTACGATAAGTTATATATATATAAGTATTTAGATACAATCATAAAAAGTATTTTGGCTTTATCTAAAGTGTTAAACTATATTGTTTTTGGAAAGAAATTGAATTTTCTCAGAATCAGAAATTATGTTCTGACATACCATTAAATTAAAAGCATAAAAATAAAATATCCTGTACAGATACAAGAATATCTCAGTGGAATACACAACAATGTTCTTAATAACTTA